GCTGCCTGTGCAGCACGGGTGATGGCTCCACCCCATCACAGCTCGCCAGCTGCCAAACTCTACTCACCATGGGTTGAGTGGGCGAGCGGATTTGTTGAGCCCTGGTGATTAAGCTTAAAGTGAATGGGAATAGAGAGGAACCTTACTTATCTAATGAGGAAAAACTTAGAAGGAGTTAGCTTGGGGGATGGACGGACAATAATTTTTGGTGGGTAGGGCACTCGAAGAATCTGGTAAGTGGTCAAAGACTATATTCTTCCATGATTTTAATGGAGGAGTATGGGATCTGGGATAGTGGTTGGGTGCAGAAGGGAGCTTGGGGTAAGGGATTGGGGGTGAGGGATCTGGGAACGAGTTTGCGTGAAGGAGCAGATTGTCACCTGGGGCAGGAGACTGGGGTGCAAAGTCTGGGAGGGGGAATGGGTATAGGAGAAGATTCTGACTTTGAAACAGGTGTGGGAGGGGGGTGCCTGGTCTGGGAGGGGGTAAGGGTGCAGAAGGGGGGGAGGGTGGGGCTGGGGCACCAGAGGCAGGCTCTGGTTGGAAGGTGCTTATCTGGGCAGCTTCAGGTGCTAATGAGGAACTGTTATTAGTTATTGAGACTGTTCCAGTGGTTGCAGGATCTTCCTATGTGAAGCTCATTGCAGGGTGGGGACTGTTAATGGCACTGCCAGTCCATATAAATATGGTAGAGTAAGGAGAGTGCCTCTAACGTACACCTTTTGTTAAGATAATCTTTTTAACAAACCGGCTGCAGTCACTTGTACCCCAAACCACACCCTGGTAGAGGAGAACCAGCACACATGGAAATAGTCCATGAACAGACGGTCTCAGAGGATCAATGTCACAGTTCAGAACAATTGCACCTATATTTTCCCCTCTGGTCTGACAAGGATGCACCATCTAGGCTTCTGGCTCCTCTGGCCGTTGCCTCCCCTGAGTTGGGGACCTGCCTCTCCTTCCCTTCTGACTGGGGTATTTCCAGTCTGAACCGGTCTCTGCCCTCACTGTTTTATCTCCAGCAAAAGACACGCTGCCTAGACAGACCTGCTAGATTTCTGTTCAGAAACGAAGAACAACGGAACTGCCCACAGTTAAGCCACTACACAATTCTTTCCATTCAAACTAATTTATTTTAGGGTTCGATGCACCACAGAGAAAACAGACACTTCTAACAAACTTGCCAGAGATCACCCCACTTCCAGCAAGGGCTCTTTGGGTGGTGAGCGGTCCTCCGTCTCTTTTGTGGTGATATAGTCACAACAGCCTCCACTCAAAACTAGCACACTCATGAGGACTTTAGCCCCCTTTATATAGCTCAGAGGATCCTTGAGATGAAGTTTTCAGGAGCAGATCATCTGAAACAAGCTTTTTTTGCTCCCGAGGGAGAGGCATTCCAAGTATGTCCTAGGAAACCTGCTAAACTTGTATTGTCCCAAACAATTCTTTGAAGTCTTAACTTCCCCAAGATTTGCATTAGTCTCCTGGAAAAGTTACATACTGTTTTATAATACACAATTGTATTTTGAATATAATAGATCCAAAAGATACTACATTTAAGTTGATAAGGTTTAATGTGTTTTAGTACGTTTTGTCCAGGACATTGTAGGAAATTGCCCTCTGCCACAATCAAATTTGCAGAATGGTGGGGAGAAGGATGTTTTTATAATGAAACCTATTTTGAAAAGGAGCCTGACACACACTGTATGTGCTAATCCACAAACAGCCAATCCCTGCAGTGCAAAAACTCCCTGTCCTGCATTTTCTTGCCATTCCAGTGTTTGCTATATGTATGGCTAAGGGCTTGTCCATGAGTGGAGTCACTCAGGGCTAGTTATTGCCCTTCAAATTCACGTCCTCATGATACCAAAGTGCTACCAAAACATATAGATGGTGGTATGAGCTTTCCTGGGCACAACCCACTTCTTCAGTCCGATCTTCTGAAGAAGTGGGTTGTGCCCACAAAAGCTCATGATACCATCTATATGTTTTGTTAAAGTGCTACTAGACTATTGGTTGTTGTTGGTTTTTTTTCCTTTTCTTTCTCCGTTATATACTAGTGACGTGCATACAGGGCCTGATAGGTGAGGCAGCAAGGGTGCTAAAATCACCCCTATTTCCTCTGCCTTTGGATAGACCCTAGATACTCATAAAGGGCAGCGTTCCTCCACAAAAGCTCTTGCATATGCAGTTACAAAAGATGGGGGAGGGAGGAGGTGGCTATACCGCAGTATAACAGAGTTAGAAGAATCCTCTGCTCATGGCGAGCAGGACATTTTCCCAGCTTGTGGTATTCAATTTTTAGACATTAGAACAGTAAAGAATTGAATATAAACTGAGGTAGTGCTATCTTCCTGAGTCTGCAGATAGCTGAAATTCAGTACTTTGCAGCCTGGAGCATGTGCAGAACTGTTGCTCATTGCCCTCTGGGTTGCATTAAAATATATAGTAGTTCATCTGCTGATTGTCAGAGCTCTTGAGTAGCAACAGAGGACAGCACTGGAGCTATTTTCAAAGGAGGAAGAACCAAAAGAGTGTATGGGGAGAGGGGAAAAGGGAGTAGCAGACGCCCTTTCAGCAGCCAGGCTATTGGTTAAAGGTAGAATTGTAGAAACTCCTAACTTGTCAGACAGTTGAGCTGTGAGTAAGCTGGGGTGCAGAGGGACTAGAACATGAGTGGTCAATAAAAAAAAATGGTGACCTGCCAGGCTGTCACTATATTTACCTGTGGCTCTGCAGGTATTGGGCAGTCACGCTCTTATTGACCTCAGATCTCTGTTTGTGGCCCATGAGAGCAGTGGGAAGCGACGCGAACGAGGACACCGCAGGCTAGAATTTGCCCACCCATGGACTAGAATGTTCTTTATTCCAGTCAGCAAATAAAGAAGTTTATGGGTGATCAAACTCTTCTAAACTGGATGGGGGCAATTAAAGTTTGTAACCTTGAACCTGGTCTGGGAGCAGCAGGTTGAGGGAAGATTGGTTTCTTACCTGGATATGTATGTCCCATGGACATTTCCAGGAGTGGGGCAGGGTGGTACCTATCTTGCATCCTTTTGGATACTAGATTTAGTCCTGTCCTGAATATTTATTAACAAATTGCAAGACCTGGGAATGAGGGGATGGTATGGTGAGAGTAGGAAGGAGAAGGAAATGCAGGAGGAGCTGTTCCAGGACTTAGTAGAGGAATGAAAAGCAAGAGAAAGTGGAGTGAAGTTTGGAGGGTAAATGTGATGATAGGAAGAGAGGCACTAATGTTACACTTAAAAATTCACTAAATTGAATTCACAATAAACAATGCACAGCTATCTTGTCTCTTGCTATTTAAAAGTAACACTGCAGGACAATTACCTTGTTTGGGGAGGTGTAAACTAGCAGAATTACTCTTTGGACTATTAGACGTTGCTTTCTGTTCCTCTTTCCAATCCCACCAATCAAAAAAACCTTACCAGAAACCTCTAGTTGTTTTCACATGCAGTACCTTTGGATTATGTTAGGTGGTTCTTTTCTTTTCTCTGGAATACTCTTCAAATACTTCCTCATTGATAGGAAGTAGACGTATCAAAGGGAATCTAAGCAGATTGACCAAGTTCACAATATTTCTTCTAGTCAATACCATATTAGGGTGATGGGGGTGAAGGGGCAGAATGTTACTGTGCACAAATATGAAGGGCATGGGCATTAAGGAAGGAGAATAATCCTTTTTGAGTGCCATACGTGTGGTCTGACCAGGAATAGTGGGGTTAACTGTAAGAAAAGGAACATTTTAGGGAGAACTTCCTAATGATATAATATATTAGGCCCCTTCTTCTTTGGGAATATGCGCAATGGTAAGTGGGTATTGACAATAGGTCTGCCCCAGCCAAAGCTGAGATTTCTTTGCTTCTACTGTAGGTAGGGCCAGAACACTGTTAAAGTCCCTTGAAGACTACATAGCAGGCCCTCCCATCCATTGTTTGAAGATTTAAAATTTTTAAAAGTGCTGATCTCAATTCACGCATAATATGAAACTCTAGGATCTAAATCCTGTCTACATTAGACATTAACTGCTGTTTAAAATCATTAATTAAAATATAAGCATGATTACATTGTTTTAAACCACCATCAATTTTTCTTATGCAGGGCTACTGTGTATTTGAAAGCTAGCCAGGCTACTGTGTATTTGAAAGCTAGCCTTTCAGGCTTTTTAATGCTCTGTGTTACCAGGGCAGGAAGTCTTCTAGGTAAACAACTTGCAAGCAACATTTGAAGAACAAGGCTTTCGGTTTAGAAGGGGTGTTTCGGAGCTGCTTGCTGTTTGTTGTACTGAAAGTGGCTTTCCTTGGTGGCCAGTGTTAAGATACAAATCATTGGCAAGTCTAATAAAATCTGGGAGTTCTAAGTCCATCTTCTTCCTCCAGTCACCAGAGCAGATTCCTTCCCTTTCCTCCTTTGTCCTCCATTATTGTCAAAAGAAAGACCTTCTTAATGAAATCACAGCCAAAGGCCTTTTATAACCTTGACACTGTATTCTTATTAGTGAAAACAGATGCATGTTGTGCTTGTTTAGTCAGTTAAGGCTCTGTTGTACTTGTCACATTGTTTGCCCCCTGTGACATAGTTCACAGTAGATCTGTGCATATAGTAGGCACATTACATTCACTTTGGCCTCTGTCCCAACTTCTGCAGAGATTTTAATATTAAAGAGAATTTTCCTGTTAAAATGTTCTAAGATATCTGATAATGTTTATGGAATCACCCTTTGTAGTTTCTGCCCTCTAGGTAATGGAAAGTCATGTGGACAAATGTCAGTTTCATTGCTGGCTTCTGTATAATTCTCTGGTCTCCTGACTGTGCTCCTGAAAGGGGCTGTTAATTCCTAAGTGTATCCATGAAAATAGGGGTTGACACAAATGAGCCAAATCTTCATTTTTGTTTTGTTTTTTATCCCTTCATCTAGGATAAATATTTAGTATCTTAAGACTAGCTAGAAAGGAAGGATGATCTTGTGCTTCAAACACAGAATCAGGATCTTCCTGATTCTGCCTATGATTGTGACTTTGGACTAGTTATTTAACAATGTGTCTGGCATGCTATAAAATGGGTCTACTTATTCACATCTGGGGTGGAGCTAAATTGAACAAACATTTAAACAGCGTTCTGAGACCCTTGGGTAGAAGACACAATAGAAGTTCATCATAATACAGTTTTTTGCATATGTGAAAGGTTATTAATGCTTTTAAACTGTTTTTCAGATTCTAAATGGCTTCTAAGAAGTTTGGATCTGACTTTCATGGTAAGTGAAGTGCAGTATTTTTGTGGAAACACCGCATAAAACATTTTGTTGCCTCTAATACAGATTTTTTTAATCTTATAATGGGATAGGGTGGCTCTTGGGATTAACAGGAGACTCCAGAGCCTTTCACCATCCCGATATTGACTAAAAGCAGCCATTTTCTGTTGGCTGCTAGTTCTATAAACCCATGAAGAAATGTCCTACAAGGGATACCTTGAGAGAGAATGTTTCCTAGGTCTATAACAGACCTTTGCTCAATGCCAGGTAACAGAGGTTATCACAGATTCAGAAAATCAGTATACTGGGGAGAAAATAAACATCAATTCCTGGTATTATTTGTAATAGAGCTCATGCTGACTACCTAGGTGAAACTAGCAATAAGCAAGTTCCTGAGCAGAACACGCTGTCTTTGTACTGTCTCTCTACCTTAGTGCTAAGTGTGCTGTTTCTAGTTCATGGCTGTTTTTAATGCTGTGTAACTTTTAAACTCTCTCCACCTGGTGCTCAGCTAAGATGAGGTGGAGAGCAGTAGTCACACTTCTGCTTATGCCTGTCACAATATGGGGCCTAGCACAGGTCACAGGCTAGCTTTTTTCCTTTGCCTGGGAGTGCTCAACCTCGCTCTGTAGTGCAGTCCAGGCCTGTGTTTCACAGACCTCATGAAGTGTTCTGTATAAACTTGAAAACTTGTTTCTCCTGCCAACAGAAGTTGGTCCATTAAAACATATTACTTCTCCTATACAATCGGGGGAGTTGAGTCTGGTTCAGATGTGTTGTGATTACCATTCACATTTGATGGGGACTCTGTGTAGACTTCGGAGTGTTATTTGCCGGTTCAAATGCACAGCCTTACATTAGGTGCCTTCTTGGGGGTAACAGCCATGGGGCCCTCCAAACAGCTAAATTGCAGTGCTGTTCAGCATTCACTGAGTACATTGCTCTCTCTGCTCTGGGCATAATGAATAAAAATACCATTAATTTCTCTGAGAGACTTCTTCAGTTTGCCATCATGGTGAGAAACAAGATAGTCCCAGAGGTTCAAAGCTGAAAAGCTGTCTAGCACTAATTTGAGAGCAGGCTGATATGCCTCGTACTGCAGTGCTTCATCATCTGGGCTCTCTAAAAGTCTTCTGCCCCCAGGTGACAGGGTGTTCCTGTTTTTTGAAAACCTCTCCTTCATTAAAGTGCTTGGCTGCATTCTTTTATATGATTCAGTATTAGAGGAGCACAGGAGGTATTTATGAGTGGCTATTTAAATCTGAAAAGTTGTCAGGCGGAAATGACACATTAGTGATCTTTGGGATTGCTCAAGCTGTGAAGAGTTTAGTTATTTTGCCAGCCTCTCCTGTAAGGTAGTGTCAGTACTCTGTAGCTGTGTCTTCAAAAATAGTCCAACCCCAAAAGTGAATGTACAGGTGAACTATTCAATGAATTCTAGTATAGGAGTGGGATTAATACACTTTTGAACAAAGTAACATTGTTTTTTGAAACTCCTATAATTCTCCCGGGTAGGGGTGTGACCGCGCAGTCAGGGTTCCCCCAAATCCCGCAGTCCTATAGCAGCAAGAACAGATTCCGCCAGTTGTAGAATAGAGAGGGGTTTATTGTTCCTTCAGGATATAGCATAGCACATATGTGATGTGGCTACAGGGGCCAGGGCCAGGATGTCTCAGACCCTAGGGTTAGGGGTCCATCGCCCCTAGGCCTCAGCTTAGCCTCTTCTCTCCATGCTTCCCAGACAGCAACTGCCTCCCTCCCAGGCCATGCCCCCCAGCCAGGTGTTTGTGTCTGCCTTTCTCCCTTTGTCTCCCTGGGAGGCTGAGCCTAGGTGTCTGGGCTAATACACTAGTGATGGAAATGTAGCCGTGTTAGTCTGGGGTAGCTGAAGCAAAATGCAGGACAATGTAGCACTTTAAAGACTAACAAGATGGTTTATTAGATGCTTGGGCTAATACACATTTGGGAGAGTCAGTGAGAATCTCACATCACAGTGCAGGGGGACCCCCTGTTACAGAGCAGACAGCACCGCCGCTACACCACAAGGTGTTGTCAAAAAGCTGCAGGTGGCTGTTGGAGTTTATTATATATATTCTGGTCACACAACTGCACTTTACAAATAGACACAGAGATGGTCCCTCCCCTCAAACAGTTTAAAACCATGTATATGACTAGAGAACAGATAAAACAGGTTGTGAGCGATGAGAGGGACATGGTAACAGTGAGAATTGTGTGATCGTGTGATAAGCGTAGGTCACAATATACCAGCTGACTGACCACCAAGGAGTGGGATTATTTTGGTACAGAAGGTGGGTTCCCTTTTCATTAGTGTAGACTCTCACTGATGAAAAGGGACACTCATGTAAGAAGTTCAGTGTGGTACTTCCAGGCAATTGTATTGAAATTTATGAGCATCACTATACATTCCTAACTCTGGACTTGCTTTTAAACAAGATTTGCCCCCATTCCTTCCTTCAACCACAAATTTAAGTTGTATCTAAAGAGTCACCCTAACCCTGAGGCTGCTTTTAAATCCATGTGTTTAATAACTTGAAATAATGACTCATACTTAAGGATTTTATTTTATAGAGCCATGGTGTCCAACACACTAGCCACATGTGGCTATTTGGCCTGTTGAGTGTGGCAAGTTTGCTATAGCAGTAGGCACTGAAGCAGTAGTTTCAGAACTGGTTGGACACCATAGTTATAGAGACATAGCTAAATAACATGCATGTGCAACTGGAAATAAGTGTCTGTGTCTGTGTATCTCCATCTCTAAGGATATGTCTACCCTACAGAGGCTATTCCAGCATAGTCCCCTAGTATAGGCATAGCTAACCCACTGGAAGTTATTCTGTTGGTTTAGGAACACCTGCTATGCAGACAATGTTAGCTATGTCAACATAGCTATATCTACACTGTGGCTTTGTTTTTATAGTTCTATCCACATATTGGTCAGGAGCATGATTGCTTCCAGCCACTGGCCAACATAACTCTGTCATCATAGCTTCTTGAATAGTAATACAGAGAGAGCCATGTTAGTTTGATCTTGCTTAAATAAAAGGGAAAAGCTATGTAGCACTTTAAAGACTAACAACATGGTTTAATAGGTGATGAGCTTTTGTGGGCCAGACCCACTTCCTCAGATCATATTCTGGAACAGAATTGGCATGACCATATATACCAAAGGAATACAATGAAAAAAGTGAACACATTATTAAACTGACAAATGTACAGAAGGTAGAGTGAGAGAGAGGGACGAAGGGAATAGCTATTTGAGTCAATGAGTGGCTAATCAGGGGTGCTAAGTGGGAAAGCTATCTTTGTATTGGTTACGGTAATTAGCATCTTTGTTAAGGCCCATTTGTAAAGTGTCAAATTTAAGCATGAATGAAAGTTCTGAAGTTTCCCTCTGTAATCTGGTGTTCGTCTCTTTGAAGTAAGATGCATGTAGTAAGGTCGGTAAGACTATGTCCAGGTAGGTTGAAATGAAAAGCAACTGGTTTTTCCTTGTGAAGATATCTGATGTCTAATTTTGGGCATTTATTCTTTGGCAAAGTGCCTGAGAAGTCTGTCCAATATACATAGCAGAAGGACACTGTTGGCACATGATGGCATAAATTATATTTCTGGATTAACAGGAATATGTGTTCTTGATATAACTGACATGGTTAAGTCCAGTGATGGTGTCACCAGAGTAAATATGTGGACAGAGTTGGCAATGGGGTTTGTTGCAAGGGAAAGTTCCAGGGTTGGTATTAATGTGGTATGTCCTGTGGTTGTTGGTAAGAATCTTCCTGAGGTTAGGTGGTTGTCTATAGGAGACTATGGGTCTGTCCCCTAGAGCCTCTCAAGAGAGTAGTATCCTGTTCCAGTAAAGGTTGTAAGTTATTGATAATGCGTTGGAGGGGTTTAAGTTGGGGCTGTAGATGATGACAAGGCTTAACAAATGACCTTACCCATTACAAAGATAATGTGTTCTCTTTTTTTCATTGTATTCCTTTGGTATATATGGACATGCCAATTCTCTTCCAGAATATGATCTGAGGAAGTGGGTCTGGCCCATGAAAGCTCATCACCTTTTCCTTTTGTTTTATCATAGCTTCTAAGTGTATGCAAAATTAAAGGTAAAAAAATAGTGTTGGAAATGTTACTTGATGATCTGTCCGGGAATCTGATACTAAATAAACCTTTTAGCCATGTGAAAACTGAGTAGAACAAAATCTTTTGAACAAAAGTGGGGCAGCAAACTCAAGCATGTGCGCAGTGTGTGTGCTTTTTCTGGCTGCTTTCATTTTTATGTTGCCTTTTAGTGCAGGTAGGTTAGCAAAGATAAAATAGATTCGTATTTCCATATTTGAATGCTGATAAGAATGCGTAATACATTCTAGTCTTTGCTTTTGATCTTAGGGCCTGTCAGTTACCTTGATGATGTCCCATTTAAGATTGGAGACAAATTCAAAACACCAGCCAAGGTTGGCTTACCCATTGGTTTCTGCTTGCCTGACTCTTCCCAGCTAGTCAGAGAAGCACAGGTAAGTGGGTGTTTTGTTCGTTTGGTTTCTCTTTGTTGTTCATTTTTGGTATGTTATAAACTTAAAATAGTCAAATTTAGGTCTTCTGTAAATGTTTGCCAGAGCTATCCTGGTTGCACTAAAATTGTCCACATACGGAGTTTCCTGCACCCTGTTCTGAAAGATCTTAGTCCAGCACAGGATAGTAGGCTTCATAGACAGTTACGATGATTTTTATGTTCCTGCTGTAACTGCGTTTTTTACAGTGCTTATCATAAATGCTTTACATGTCATAATTTATCAAAATGGAGTAAAAGCCAAAGAAATTTTGAAGCAAAGCTTTGATACAGTTCAAGTTTTAACCATACACTTAAGTAGAACTTCTTAGTATGAAAGTTGGGAAATTCAGAGTCCAGGTTCCAACAACAACCTTAACTCTGCCCCGTCTATCTCTGGCTATCCTATACTTTTGCAGTTTTCACTTATAAATCTAGATTTATTTTAACAAAAGTGGAAAATTCAAATATAGGAGTTATGGTGCTATTGCAAAATCCTGTTAGGAATTAGTGGAATTTTATTTTTTTAACTGCCAAATACATCTCATTTTTTCAACGTGTAAAAAGTGGATGAATAGATAAGTAGATTGTGTGCTTTGATGCATATTCATGATGATAGATGGCTTCTGATTTCCTTGTCCTACTTTTGAGTGGCGAACTCTTGTTATCTTTTGTAGTTCTCAGTGGCAATTTGTTTATCCAACCATGTGGCCAAGTTATGTAACTTAGCAAGTACATCTCTCCACTCTTTTTTTCTAGCCACATGGTCTTAAGTTGCCTTAATTTTAAGCAGACTAACTTTAAAAAAATCCTTCAGTCCTTTATAATTTGAAAATTGGTACTAGGAGTCCAACCACAGGTTAAAATTTGGAACCAAAGTCCAGCTTACTGCCAGTCCTGACCTCAAAGAGAATGGCAGGTACACAGTAGCTTGGTCATCTTTATGCCATGTGGTATTTCTACAGAGTTCTCTGGAATATGGATTTTGGGTCATGACCACAGAGCCCATCAAATCAGTGGTTAAGTCGTCTTAGTTTACTTCCTACTAGGAGTTGATTAGCCATGTTAGATCCATTATAACACTAAATGGCTAACCTTGTCTGTAGTGCTAGCTCTCCCTTTCTTCCGTGTGCATACTGAAGTGAAGTCAAGGTGCTACTAATCAATGTATCATGGCACACTGTTTCCTTTGACAACTGCAGCAGACCACTCCAGCTTACTTGTCAAGCTTTTTTGCTGTCAGCACGTCAAATGTTGTAGTACTGAGAAAGAGCAAAGACCACTTTGCTAAATATCTGTCTTTTGCACTAACTAGCCACAGGCTAAGCCTGCTTTCTCGGAACATACCATGGCTCACCAAAAGGGCAGTGAACTCTGTCACTGTTCACTCATACTCCGTTAGCGCTTCAGATAATTTTGGCTGTGGGCTGTTCTGTTACACGTGCCTCTGTAAATTCTCTTGTCCTGGAAATTGGCTGTGGGCAGGTCTTATGTTCTGGGGTGTGGTCTAGACCAGTGAGGGATTTTTTCCCCATTTGTCTTGCAGCTCTGGGTGCCTCTCAGTGCTTTGCTGCTGTAGCTCCTAACATGGGCCTCTCACAAACAGCATGCAGTTCACACAATATGTCTGTATATAGTCACAGCCCTGATCCAGCAGCTCTGAGCCCAGCAGCCTGTTGGATATGTACCATCTCCGCCTAGCAGCCTAGGTTACTACACATTCCCCATCTTAGATTATTCCCAGAAATGCATGTTCTGCACTGCCTAGCCCGCTACTGCACAGATGGGATTTTAAAGGTCAATTGCCACTGGAAGGAGTTAGTGTTCAATAGTTTGCTACTTCGATTGGCATTATCAAACAATTCAGTTTAAACACAACATTGGATTGGTTTTGATTAAAGAATAAAACAAGTTTATTTAACTACAAAAAGATTTTGAATACAAGTTTAAGGCATTAAAGTCAGAAATGGCTACAAGAGAAATAAAGAAAAATGCTTTCTAGAAACTAAACTTAAACTAGACTTGGTTCAAGATAAAATGCTTACCACAGGTCCCAGCAATATTGTTGATCCAATTTTCAAGTCAAGATCTCTCACAGTCCAAAGACTGCTTCCTTTATCTTCTGGGGTTGAGGAGGAGTGAATGAGTGTGTGTATCTGGGATGTTTTTGTCCCTCACTTTTATAATCCATTCATCCTTTAAGATGCATTTTCCTGAAGGTTATCCCTGAAGTTGCTTTCAGTTGTAAGGGTGTGAGGTCTCAAATTGTTCTTGTCCCTCTTTGCTGTCAAAGAATGGCCACTTGACCAATGATTGCCAGTCAACTTTGATACATGGGTGGTGGTGTCAGCTTGTCTTATGTCTTTGAGAAATAGGTTTGCTCCCTTCTCAGACTTGCCTGGTAAAAACATCAGTCATTATTTCTTCCCGTGTTCATAACTTTATAGATCACATTGCTATGTACATTTTCAAATTATATGCTTGATCACCAAGTTATTAGTTATCAAATTACCCTCACATGGTGCGCCTTGGAGAAAGATTTTTACTGCGGTATGTGGAATGGGAATATGGGGGCATGTTTGATACGACAGGTTATGTAAGAGCTGATCCTTGGAAGAGTTCATATTGAAATGTGAAAAAGCTCAGGGGACTCTCTCATACTGGTAATAGTGACACAGATCTGCTTCCGTAGAAATATGCACACTACACTAGTGTCTAATATCTCAGTTTTATGACTTCTTGGCTGGCTCAGGTGACTGGTTCTAGACTTGTCATCTCCGCAGTACATAGGTTAGTACTCTTCTTTCTGTTTGGTAGTAAACTCTGAGTTGGACTTTAATCTCTTTTGAAGAGAGGAAAAAAATGCCATGATGTTTCCAGTGATGCAGTAATCCAGAAGTTACTCTGCTCTTGTGTAGCTGGTGGACAGTTCATCAGTCAGAAAATGTGCAACCTCCTGGCAAATTCTGAAGCTAAATTGTAGTAGAAGTCTACCATTAAGTAGGGCACTTGATTTCTACTCTGTTCATGGGCTCTTTTGTGGGAGATAGATGCTTTGGCATTGTGTTAATCTTCATAAACCGTTTTAAAGTGAAATAATGTGGAAAAGGTAAAATACAGCATACCCACTGGCATATAGCCAAGGTTAGCTTCCAGAGACACACAGAATGTCTTTTACCTGACTATAGGTAAGTAACAGAGATATTAATTAAAAGAAATAATCCCTACCCTTTGGGTAATATACTTCGGTGGTTGTTCCGCATTCCTTGTTACATATGGTATGATGTTGCTGCCATAAAGTAGTGATTCTGCTCCTTAGCTTGAATTTCCTTTTTTCCTGACAGTATGACTTCTCCCTGGAAAAGAGAACTATCGGGTGGGCTGAAGACATCAAAAAAATCCAATCAGCTCAGAGAGAAGCAGAGCGAAAGGAGGCGCAATCAATAGCTAATGCTAAGGCTGCTTCAGATGACAACAGCAAAATGGGATTCTCGGAGGCCATGCCGCCTTCCATTAACCCTATTCTCGCTAGTCTACAGCATAATAACATTCTTACTCCTACCCCGGCCAATAGCAGTGCCATAAAGCAAAAGGTCCTTAGTCCACCTTACCCAAAGGCAGATTTCAACCCAGCAGATTTTGAATGTGAAGAAGACCCATTTGACAAACTAGAGCTAAAAACTATTGATGATAAAAAAGAACTGAAAAGTATTCTTGAAATTCATGTTGGTACTACTGGGCCATTTGTCGCCCAACTGTTGGATAATAGCTTGCCCAAAGTAGGGCATGAGTCTGTGTTACAAGATCAGGAAGTACTGGCATCTTTAGAAAGGGCTACCTTGGACTTCAAGCCCCTTCACAAACCCAATGGCTTTATCACTTTGCCACAGCTGGAAAACTGTGAAAAGATGTCCCTGTCTTCCAAAGTGTCCCTCTCCCCTATCACATCAGTGAGCAATATTAAATCTCTCTCCTTTCCCAAACTCGACTCAGATGAGAGCGATCAAAAATCGTCCAAGCTTACAAGCACTTTCCACAGCGCTACCTGTCTCCACAATGGCACTTTCCTTGGCTCTTTACAGGCCTGCTCTCAGAGTAAGGCTAGCGAACTCAACGGACATCATGTTGTTGGACTTTCTGCTTTAAATGTGGACAGTGGCATGGAGACATCAACATTATCCTCTTCATCCAGGCTGCCTTCCTTGTCTGTGTCAACACCTTGTACAGAAGAACAATCATCTCAAAACACAGCTGCTAAGGTGAGGATTTAACAGATTAAAATAGATTTGAGATATTCAAGGGGAAGGTGAATGTCACTCATATTTCTAAAATGCATCCCGTAGCTTTCTTTGTTAGCAGACCACATCTGAGCATTAAATCAATGTGTCCCATCATGCATTGCTCCATCTTGCTCTAAATGGAAAACTGATCAGCTAAAGATGAAACCTTGGTTGCTGGGAGTTTAGTCTCAGAGGACTGTGTGTCACTGTTTTGTATGGAGACAGCTGTTGTCTTAATTCACTTCATGTGGCTGTGTTATCTTATCCTCACACATGGCTCCGGCAGGGGATCCATAGAATATCCAGTGGCGCTAGTGAACTTGATAAGAGATGAAAATCTAAATAACAGCTTTGCTAAGCACCTAGCAGGCTAGTGCTGTGACCATTGCTGGGCTCTTCTACACTGGAGAAATCCTTGTAAGCACCAAGGAGGCAGGCATTCTGTAAGGATGCTTCAAGGAGGCTATGGACATGTGAGCTGAAGTAAGGAAGGAGCTCATCAATTAGACTGAATAGCAGGAAAAGCTTCCCACACTTGAAATGTTTCCCAAGGAGGGGGAGGAGCGTCTCGTTGTCTAGTCTTAGTTGAGACATTTTAGACAAAGTTGTGGAGAAAAATGCTGTTGGGAACCCTATTTTAGGGTTGAGAAATAGGTAAAGCTGATGTGACTGGACTCTCCTGTCTCTAATTTCTAAAAGCTTGAGGGTTTTTTGGTTTCCCATGTTACAGTCTCAAGGACTTGGGAAATATAATCTTGTTCAGTTTTATAACTAAATACAGAGTTGAGTCCTGAGCATCAGAAGATCGTGGTTGTACAGCTGAAAGCCAGAGGTTGTCGGATGTGATTTTGAGGATTTCTTCAAGAGAAGCTCTTGACATCTGGGGTAAAATGTTCATGCAGCATCTCTCTCGTATGTCTTCGGATGGATTATCTGCCCCATTTGGAAAACCTTAGGATAATCCATATATGTCATTGTTACCTGTCATAACTACTTTTTCTATAATTGAGACAGACTTGGGCTGGTTAGATTTGGAGTTACTTGTTAATGTTTTAATAACTGCCAGGAGACTAGATTTTTATGGCCATTTTAAACTGGGACTTCCCTGAAACTACACATGTTGTCTTCTGTTGTAGAACATGCTTCCTCTTCTTCTGAGCTTAGATCTTTAGATGCTAAATTTTTGGCCTGTGCCCTAGTGGATGTCATACAGCGCCAAACAAGTGGAGATTTTCACCACTGATTCAGTTTATGCAAAATAAGCAAGACGACAAATGGAAAAACTGCTTGTGAAGTTTAGTGGATTAAAATTAAATGGATCTGGATGTTGTGTTGACAAATTAAGTGCAGGCTTAATTTTGCCATGTGTGCTGTTTAAGATTTATATATAGGTTGAACCTCTCGAGTCTGGCAACATCTGTGGTCCAGCATGCTTTTAGTTAGCCAGAGGTCTACTTATCATGGGTGTGGCCAAGTTTCCCCTGGTCCCGTAAAGTTTGTTTAAAGCTACAAGACCTGGCTCTCAGTGCTCGGTGCTGTCATTTAGCTCTAATTCACCCCTAAACGATGTCTTAGAGCCCAATAAGCAGTGGAAGTGTTGGTAATGTCGCTAGAAAATATTGACCTCCCACGGTCCAGCAAATTCTCTGGTTTGGCACCAGTCAGGTCCCGAGGGTGCTGGACTAGAGAGGTTCAACCTGTACTGAATTTTCAGTGTTACCTTGATGCTGCCAGTGGATTTGCTATCTGATCAGTGTTGTGGTTCCCAGCCTGCATGGGAGGAGGACACAGCATTGTCAAAGCATGCACGGGGCAAGTGGTAAGCCATGTTCCTCTATATACATTATAAACATGGGCTTGTGGGTTATAACAAGTGCAGGTTAGTGAAGTGATTTTCACTTGTTGTTCCTTTCTCACTAGTTGCTTATGGTGTTTTAGTTTCTTGCTTTAGTTGTGAATTTTTTTGGGGGGAGGCGGGGAGAATAAGAACTCCCCTCTTCCCCCACTTGTCCCCCCAAGATTAAGATCTCTGGGATGTACCATTAATTAGTTTGACCTCCTGTGCCTCTCAGAAATCAGACCTTCTGGTACAAATCAGTATCCAATTACATGAGCTTTCTCTGACAAGTATCAGCTCCCAGAAGAGAATCTGCTTACTGTCCCATCAGCACTTAAGTAATATCAACCTGAATAATTGTAAAGTCAAGTTCTTCTGAGGCGGGAATGGCCCATTTGGAACAAGTAAAATTGAAATTGAACTAACCCCGTGAGTTGGGTATTGCTTGCTGGCCATCATGTTTAAAGTCTCTTGTGTAAACCATATATGTTCGGCGTATGGGCCATATATAGTCCAGGATTATCAGTGGCGCCAGCACTGTAGTAAGGGTGATGGAGGATGTAGCATTCTGGAATACCATGCTTTCTATAGCCAAACAAATCTCTGCTGGAAATCTCTGTACTTTCATTTCTCCAAATGGCTTTAACCATCTGCTCAAAGGAAGCTGCGGGAAGATAGCTTTCTGAACAGGGAACTGAGATGCTAACTTCCTGCTAGCTCAATTTTAATCCATGTCCTACTCCCACCCCCACAAGAAAAGCATGTAAATATTTTCTATAAGATTGAAAACTGGTGCTGGTGAATTTTGGAAGTGTGCTCACTTAACACTCCAGTCCTGTAAAGTTCTGGCAACCAACTTTTGAGCTACTGTACTGTGATGAAGTGTTGCATGCTGGGATGTGTGGTCTGGGGGCTTCTCGTCATGGATTAGGTGCAATGAGGCTGTCAAGCTCCTGGCAAGTTTCCATCATGGCCCATTGTTGGGGAGAGTTGGCCTAGCCTGCAGTAAACCTGCATTCCAGCTAGCTGGATGGTGGTCTGTATTGGACTGGTAGTGAGTAAGCAACACCCTTCTACTGCATATGGGAAAGTGGAGTAAATCTTTAATCGGGATAGAGACACTCAGCTTATCCGGTTCCAGTATGTGATAGGTGAATGCTCCTGAACTTAACTAACAGGCAAACCCAAGGTCCTTTTGATATTTTAAACAGTCATGGGAGAACCTAAAGCTGCTTTGTGGAGCCTGGGATGAGAGGATCAGCAATTGGCTCTGAGACTAAACAGACCAGGAAATAATGGCTGATTTTCAGCACTGGAAAAGGTTAACAGTGAGCCCTTCGTCCTTCCAGCCAGATCCATGCACATTGCTCAGTGATAGGTTAGTCAGAATGCAAGCTTTGTTTGGATGGATCAGACATGACGTGGGTAGAAATACTAAAATTCTGTCATGGAGAAATCACCAATATGCTTTCACACAGAATACTGTAGTCAGTTGTAGATGTTAGCTAAGAAAAGTTTATAGCAGAAGGGATACAGACATAGGCCATGGAAGTAGTTAGCCCTAGAGAGTAGAAAATTCTGGGCTAGTTTAGTTTGAGAGAAGACCAGTCAGAGGGGATGAGACAGACTCAGTGATGAATAGAACAATGAATATAAATCGCTAGGTGTCCTTTTCACTCGTTCCATAATAAGTTTCCTTGTCAATGATAGGTGTGTACCACAGGTCTGACCCAGTATGGCAATTGTTGCCTGTCTACCCATCTTCCCTTCCAGGCCCCTTTTCATTAGAAACTCTGCTTGCCAACATAGTAGACATCTCTTCAACCTTCTCATTCATGTGTTGTTTTGTATAGGTACAGCCAGACTATAAGGAATCAGAACTCCCTATGGTAAGTTTCCAAATTACCTGTGTGAGATAATGTGTTGTATAGCACAGGCCTAAATTATCCATATGTTGGTATGTTTTCTTGTGTGAAAGAAGTGAATGATTCCTGTGTGTGTACTGACAGTCAAAGTAGCCAGCGCATGAGTGTGGTCTCCTGTACAAGAGTTTTCTTATTCCATAAATGCTATCTTTGTTATCTCCTATTCTCTAGCTGACTGTCATTTCATGACAGAGCTCGCTAAATTAGCAAACCTAGAATCTAGTACCTTCCAAAGTAGAAGGGGATATCAAGTGAGGAAATGTCTAGAGTGATCCCAAGAAAGATCATTGGGAGTGGCAGGAATGTTTTTGGCCTTCCTACTGATTTTCATCCCAGTTAGTCTCCCAAAGGCGATATGGGAAGCCCAGCTCCATTAATTTTAAACAAGACCAGAAAACTCCCTCAGATTTCTCTGAATAGTCCTCCCTGGCCAAGGAAGAGGCATGGATGCTGGGATAGAGATGTATCATGGCTCTGTTTGTGCTTGGCTTCCCTTTTGTAGATAATGAACCAAAACTTCACCGTGTCTAAAGTGCCCAGTAATAACAGCTGCACTAAATGGTCAAGTGGCCCCACATACTCGGATGTGCTGCAGGCCTTGTCTGCCAGTGAGCGGCAGTGTGTGGAAACAGTTGTCAACATGGGATATTCCTACGAAGATGTCATAACAGCTATGAAGAAGAAAGGACAGAATATAGAACAGGTAAGAGCCCTTCCAAAAGGGCAGGAGCTCCAAAGATGCAGCCATCGCTGTCAGCACCTCGGCTTTACAAAAAACACACTAAACCGTAAAAAGTCACCGGGACCAGGCGACATTCACCCAAGCGTTCTGAAAGAAATCAGATGTGAAATTGCGGAACTAACAACTGTGGTTTGTAACCTGTTTGTTAAATCTTCTCCTGTACCAAATGACTGAGAGAGAGTTAATATGATGGCAATTTTTAAAAATGGTTCTAGAGGTGATCCTGATGTTACCTCTTAACAATATTGAATCTCAGCCCAGGGCTCTACCAAATTCATGGCCATGAAAAACTCATGGACTGTGAAATCTGACCTTTTCCCTATGCTATTCAGACTTCACAGGGGAGACCAAGATCTCTCAAACTGGGTTCTTGGCCCAAAAGAGGATTGTGGGGGGTTTGCAAAGTTATTGTAGGAAAATTATGGTATTGCCACCGTTACTTCTGCACTTCTGCTTCCTCCTGCTTCCAGAACTGGGCAGCCAGTGACACCAGCTGGCAGAGTGTCCAGCAGCGCATAAGTGAGTGTGTCAGTACCATACCAGGGCATCCTTCTTTCTGCAGTGCTGATTCAGAGCAGGGCTGCCATCTAGCAGCCACCTTTTTCCAGCTGCCTACCTGTGAAGGAAGTGCCATCAGCAGTAGCAGCATAGAAGTAAGGGTAGTAATACTGCAACACCCTCATTACAATAAATATGACTCCCCCCACAGCTCCTTTGTGGATCAGGTCCACTACGGTGAAAACATCATGACATTTCAGATTTAAATATCTGAAATCCATTAATTTTACTATTTTTAAACGCCTATGACCATGAAATGGACCATGAATTTGATAGGGCCTCAACATGTAAGATATTGGATAATAATTTCTGAGGTAAGGGGACTGTGATTGGTTTGGCTTTTCTCAGCAGACACCCAAGAAGCTGAACTGATCTCAAAAGGTGTGATAGCTTTCACATTGGATCAGCTCTATGAAATCTGTGGGGAACCCATGATTCAAAAGACTTTTCATTTTCATCATTGAACCCTCAGTATGATGTTAAAAATAGTTGCTGTGTAGTAGTAGCCGCTTCTGAAAAACTGACTTGGTGGTAGAATTTTATTAGTATTAAAAGGCAGAACAATGCCCAACCTCTAATTTGTAGACTGCCTTTGTCTGAAAGTGAAAACCAAAGCCCAGGGAGGGAGAGAATGAAAGGCCAGAGAGTTTAGTTCAGCTTCTCTGAACAAGCTCCCATGCTGAGAACCTGCTCGTGCCCAGAGGCAAGGCTTTCTCTAAGCAAAAGCTAGCAGTCCTGTGGCACTTTGGAGACTGATTGATTAAGGCATAAGCTGTTGTGGGTTTTACTGATGAAAGCTCGTGCCCTAATCAGTCGGTTAGTCTCTAAGGTGCCACAGGACTCCTCATAGTCTGTATCTGCAAAAACCAACATGGCAGCCCGAGACTCTTCTCTAAGCAGTTAGCGAAGCCCTGTCAATGGCTTACGGTTTACGGTGCATAGGTATGTGACATAGAGGTGAGTTCCACTCTCCTGACTCTACTTTTTTTCCTCCCTCCCACAGGTTCTCGATTATCTGTTTGTCCACAGCCAGCTTTGTGAGAAGGGCTTTGATCCTCTCCTTGTGGAAGCAGTTCTGGAAATGTCCCAGTGCTCCGAGCAGAAGGTGAGGGGGCCTGGTTATGTTCATCAAGGGAGGTGCTTTGCCCAGGTTATTTCACTGACTTTCAGAGCATGTCTTGTCATGGAAGTTGAGCGAATGCCTGTTTGGCCATTTGGAAACCTCTCTCTTTGGGATCAGTCCTGCTCAGATTACAAAACTTTCCTCCACTTGTGCAGATCAGCTGCTTTCATTGCTGTTGCCTGTGCCCTGAGCACTTCACGGATGAGGCTGTGCCCTCAGCTTGTGCCTTGTACTCCCTGACTTACGGTTTGGATAGCAAGACTAGGCAGCCATCGTTGCCCTGCCCCATCTCTTCCACATGGTTGACTGCTCTTTCAGGGCCTGTGCTTCTGGTAACTGTGGACTCCCCTGATCTTTCCTGGGAATGGGACCTGGCAGCTAGAGGGTTAGGCAAGCAAGAGGGGCAGCCCCTGGCATGAGTGAGGTGGAGTGGTGTGGACTTGGCTGCAGGAAGGCACCTGTACCCAGCCCCTCCTGCAGCCTTGGCCACAGAATTGTACTTGCCTAAACCCAGGAAATAGCCAGTCCTTAGGTGACATCCTAAATTATAATTTTTTTAAATTAATGGAGAGTGCCTATCTCCTAGAACTGGAAAGGACATTGAGAGGTCATTGAGTCCAGTCCCCTGCCTTTACAGCAGGACCAAGTACTGTCCCTGACAAATTTTTGCCCCAAATCCCTAAATGGCCTCCGCAAGGATTGAACTCACAACCCTGGGTTTAGCAGGCCAGTGCTCAAACCACTGAGCTATCCCTGCCTCCACTTTAAGAGAGGCTTAAACAAGCCCTGGGGAGCAGGGGGAAAGACAGGAATTGGTGGGGATGTGGGTTGGAAGCGAAACAACTTTGTGACTCCAGAGTTCAGATGTCTCCTACTTCCGTCAGTACTTGCTGTCTCTGCTGAGGCTCAGGGCTCCCAGTTATGGACATACTGGCTGTGTCTAGACTGGCCAGTTTTTCTGGAAAATCAGCTGCTTTTCTGGAAATACTTGCCAGCTGTCTACACTGGCCACTTGAATTTCCGCAAAAGCACTGACTTCCTACTGTGAGAAATCAGTGCTTCTTGTGGAAATACTATGCTGCTCCCGTTCAGGCAAAAGTCCCTTTGTGCAAAGCTTTTGCACAAAAGGGCCAGTGTAGACAGCTCAGATTTGTTTTCCGCAAAAAAGCCCCTATCGCAAAAATGACGATCGGGGCTTTTTTGCGGAAAAGTGTGTCTAGATTGGCCATGGACGCTTTTCTGCAAAAAGTGCTTTTGCGGAAAAGCATCCGTGCCGATCTAGACTCTCTGTTCCGAAAATGCTTTTAACGGAAAACTTTTCCATTAAAAGCATTTCCGGAAAATCATGCCAGTCTAGACGCAGCCACTGTGTGTGGACACTTGTCTGCTGGAAGCAGGGTAAATCCCACCGAAGTTCCATCAGCTCTGAAGAGCCACGTGCTAGCAAGGGCTGTTGTTTGGTTCCCAGACTCAGCCTCATGACCCTTTAGCTTCTAACAAGCATGGTCATGACTTCGTACTGATACAACGTTTGGATGCAGCAGAAATTGAAAAGGCAGCTTTGACCTACAGGGCCATGGAGAGGTTCAGGCGGGCTCTCTGCTGCCACGGAACGGCTCACAAAGCCGGCAAGCTGCTGGGGGCCTCAGTGAAGAGCAGGTTGGGGACCGGTCACTAACTGTGGGATGATATAGGCTCCTGTGATGGTCTTTAGCATAATACACACAGCACAGCCCAATATACACAGCGCAGCTCAAGTGTGCTCGCCTGCTGTTGCTTATTACCATAGTGCCTAGGAGCGATAGCCTCAGACCTGGCCCCTGTTGTGCTAGATGCTCTGACCACAGAGCTGTCTAAAAGAGCTAGCAGCTTAAGGCCATGTCGACACTGCAAGTTAGCGCAGTAAATCCATTCCCAGCGCTCTAGGTAAACTCCCTCGAGGAGACGCATGGACACTTCAGTGATTGGCTGCTTTGTGACTGGTCGCTGGAAATGGCCCTTAATCCCGGCAGTAGCCACGCTGAGCTGGCTGCCTTGCAGGCATGCACCTCTCCCCCTTCAGAGCTCCGTGTGGGACAGCCTGCATGCTCCGGGATACGAGCAGACCATTCAGGTGGAATGCTCAGGCTGTTGGACACAGAGCCAAGTGAATGTGAGGGGGTAAGATTGCTGTGCAGAGTTGTGGGGGGAGGGGATGATGATCAGGTTTCCCCCTCCCTCCTGCCACTGTCTGAACTTACAAGACAGCATGCTGACCGCCCAAAATACATGGTCACCCTCTCCACATACACACTTCCTGTCACGTTCTCTCCCCCACCCTCCATTTAGTTGACAAGCATCTGTTGCAGTAGTAAGATGACTGTGGAGCAGTGGGATTGGGAAACCTGCATCGCATGATGCTGCCTGCCCCATGCGGCATTGTAAACCCTTCCCAAAGCACCCTGCAGCCAGTTGCGCATTGGAATACCCACAATGCACTGCTCCCTGTGGCGTTGCAAGAGCTACGACTGTGGCTGCGATCCGCCATCACAAGGAGCAGTGGAGACATTACAGCAGTTTCCCTGCAGGCTCTGTGAGCAGCGCTTTCCATCTGCCAATGTAGACACCGCCTAGGCCAAGAGACACTAGATGGCTGGACAGATTGACGGGGGAAACAATGAGGCACAGTAGGTAAACCTCATGGGCAGTGGTCTCTGCCGCCAGCGGTCTGACCCCGTGTTCAGCTGTTTGTAGGGATCAGCAAGGCCCCGTGGGTGAGGACAACCGAATGGCCAACGTGACGTTAGTGCCCAGCTTTAAAACGTGGAGGCTGAACTGGTTTATTTGAGGCATCTGGGAACTTTGCCCATGAACTGAGCATCCCCCTTCCAGCCCGTGGCAGGAGTTGAGCTGTGCATGGCATTCCACGTCCTGTCTGCTTCCCCTGAGCCTCTCCTTGAACCTCCCCCCTCAGACACTTAATGTCTTTCTCTCTCCTAGATGACAGAACTTCTCCAGCTAATGAGCAAATTTAAAGAAATGGGCTTTGAACTGAATGACATAAAGGAAGTCCTATTATTACATAACGACCAGGAGAATGCTTTGGAAGATCTAATGGCCCGTGCAGGAGCCAGCTGAAAACACCAGGAGTCTTGGAGCACGATGGAGAGCGCCTGCAGGGGAAGGCAGCCAGCCTGTGTAACTAGACCCTCGCCACTTCAGCCAGAGTGTGGCGTGCTGTCTTTGGGAAGACGCCCTGCCTTTCCCATACATCGGAGAACGCACCCGACCCAGCTCACCGCGTGCGTCCCTCCAGCACGTCCTTCCCATTGACAAGAGCTAACTTCTTTTCGTACATTCAATTTTTAAAGTGCCCTTTCCTAAGTTTCCTTTTCTGGTTTGGCCATGGAGAGTTGAGACTGCCCGACCTTTACTGGAATTGTACATACCCAATGCTGGAAGTATTGTTTTGCTCACTCTTGGATAGAGGAATACAAAGTTGGTTTGAAAACAAGAATGCTCTGGTTCTTTGAAGCTGCTTTCCTGGTGGGAGCTTCTACTGAAACACTGTATCGCAGTTCAGATAAACTGAAGTTGACCTTTAGTGCAATGGATTTTTATTTTTATTGGGTTGAAAAGTAGTCTGTAACTTAGTGGAACACTGGTTTCTAACCTGTCACTATGCATAAAGAGAAGTCGTTCCCTTGGCCCTTCTGCCAGGCATAGGTGTCCAGTGCTTGAGTGGTGTGTAAACACAACTTTATCACAACAGGTAAGCTCTGGACTCTCACCAGTGGCTGGGTCTTGCACCTAAGGGGCGAGAGCTGAACATTTGCAATCTCTTCCGCTCCTTCCCCAGGTGGATAGGCTATTTCAACAAATGCCCTCCTAAGAAATCAGTCTGTTTTAAATGATAGTCAGTGTGAAGCAGGGGGTTTCTTTCAAGCACTTTCTTTAAATACAAATAATATACTCACTGCATTAGTTACATTTTTTCACACTGCTTTAGTTACATATTCAATAACATCTAGTAATAAAAATCAGTTTTTGGGTTGGTTTTGATAGTACAAAGTGTATTATGTTGTACATTGTTAAAGGTCTAAATACCTAAGATATAAGCAGTCTTGATGAATCTTTAATTTGCTAAATATTTTGATTCTGCAGAAAATGACTAATAAAACCCTACAATGGAATTCCCAGTGTCATGTTTCCCTCTGTCTCTTGTGCTCTGGGTTCATTAGAGGTGGTGGGCTGTTACAGCTGAAGAGGGATAGAATCAAAATCAGTCCCTCCTAACTGGGCCTCCAAAGCCAGCAATCCTTCCCACGCCCAAATGCCCTGTGCTTGGATTGTGTCTAGTTGACAGAGCACAACACAAGGATCTGTCTGAACAGTATTTAAGAGCCACTGCTAGCAGACAAGCATGTGTGTCTGGATTTGCTCCTTTCGTTTTGACAGCTGAATTTTTCTCAATGAAAAAAATCTTTGTAAAGCAATGAACTCCCCTTAAGGCATGAAATGCACTGCTGCAGAAGCATGGCCTACTCCAACCAAATCTTTTATACAGATTAACCTCTTTGTGGTTCTGGTCGCATATTTAAAAAAATAAGTCTTGCTGGAGGGTAAATGTCAGCACCTGTTGGAGTTTCCAAGCACACACTAACTTGCTGTGACTGATTTACCCTGCAGCTGTTAGCTGCTTCATGCTAACTTGCACAGCAGTTTCAATCTCCTTTTCTAGCTTGTTAGAAAAGCTAATGAGATCTTTACCTGTGGGCACTTATAGAGCCAACCTGCTTCAGGATGTTAAACAAAAATTGTCATAGAAGGACCCAACCACTGTCCTCCCTAGCCAGCTGGTCCTAAATTACATAGCAGGGCCTCTGGACTCTTTAGTATCTGCTGGAAGAGGGGAGGAAATTCCCTGGCACCTCCATTTTTACCTTAAGGAAAGCTGAGTGGTTTGTTTACACACACACACACATACACATATTGCTACAATCAGTGCAATAGGCTGGTATTTGTTTCTCAGCTCAGGAAGTTGGGGACAGGGATAAGCACACTTGGGG